TATTTACACTAAAGACCACAATCTGGCTTTGAAGGACTCGGAGCATGTGTGTGTGTGTGTGTGTGTGTGTGTGTGAGTGTGTGTGTGATTGTGTGGGAGGGGGGATCTTTCCTCTGTGTAACAGTCTCCTGTTAAGTCACCACAGTGACTGTGGCGTGTCAAACAGCTTCCTTCTTCTCAGCGTTTCTTTTTCTCCACGGCGAGCGTCTTTACTGGGTTTTGTTGTAAAACCCTGGATTTTCTCCTGAGCAACGACATAAGCTCCGTAGGGTTCCTAAACTATTCAGAAAACTCAAGTTCTTTGCTCTATTTGTGACACATCGCTCTTTGATTGAAAGAAGAAATCCAGTTTATCACATCTGGATCCTTTTTTACATCCTCATCATGGATATCAGTGATATTAAGACTGTACTAACAAAGGCAAAGACAAGGCAAATTTATTACATGAACATTTCACACCAGAGGTGCTTTAAGGATCAGTCAGGTCAAGTCAAAGTTCATTACAGCCCAGTCACAAAGCAAAGCCTCAAAGGGCTGGACCAATAATAATTTCAATTTTATCTACAAAGCCTAATATCACAAATCACAGTTTGCCTCAGAGGGTTTTACAGCATTCGACATCCATCTGTCGTCAAACCATCACGGTGGATACAGAAAAACTAGGGATGCATGATGCTGGCATTTTTTGCTGATATATAACAACTTATTTGGCTGATAAGCGATACCAATATTGATGTATCCACTTTTTCCCCCCCACCTAAATTTAGTGATCATCAAATCTCTGTAGTGGAATTAACATCATCTTATTAATGCATACTCTTATCATGACTGTTAGTCAGTGTCTGTGATATTCATTCATTGTGCAAAATAAGAAAAAGCATGTTGGCTGATTCTGATCGTTCATTCTGAAGCCAATATTGGCTATTATTGATGATGTGCCAATATTACCCTGCATCCCCAGGAAATACCCCCCCCCCCCCCCCCCAAAAAAACTTCAATGGGGGAAAACGTCGTGTGACAGTGACTACATTTACGTGCACAAAAATTCAATTGTTCGCACCTTATTGTGAAAGAGACAATATTTCACTAATATTCCCATTTACATGCAGCTGTGCACTCTCTGATTAACTCTGATTTATCCTGTCAAAATATGGAAAAGTGGCACAGCTGGAGCTTGTGTCATTTTGCTTCTTTGCAACAAAACCAAACTTTTTGGAAAGTTTTCCATCGGTGGTCGACTCATTGGACTGTGTGAACTCTCTCTTTCATTCCTTCAAAAACCGTCTTGCCAATGTCGTAGTGATGATATTTGTGCATATCTTAAAAACCTGTTGATATCCAAGTCTTTCATAATGTTTAAAAGTAGATGTGTTTCTCCTTCTGACCAGAAATGTGGGCTTTTCTTTTGGACATGCATCTCTACTCCGGCCCTGCAAGCTACAGCACAGAGCCGACTGTAAACAGACAAAAACCTCAGACGTGTCCAAAGACTGCTCCCCTGAATGATACTGACATATCCCACGTCTTAATAGAGAGATGCTACCTTAAAAAATGTAGTATGCTGTTTACATGACTGTATTAAATTCAGAAAGTTGTCATATCCTGAATAATAGTGGAATATTCATATGCATGTAAACAGAGTCAGTGAAAGTCGTTGCCACAGAGAACTGCTGTTCCGAGTATTTGAAGATCATACTGAACAGATTTAGTTTCCACTCTTTTTCTTTCCAGGCCTCCTTTTGTTGTAAATATTTAGCAGTTTGTAAGATGAAAACCACACCAGCTCAAAAACAATCCAGACTCTTCAGCAATGATGCTTATTTTCTCCAATATGTTTGGAAATCTCACAGTGAGGTTGTAACGGGCTTTGATGCTGCAATTGTCATGAAACCAACTGGGCTCATAAATGGCCGTGGAAACTTTCAATTCAGCCATGAAAAACACCCAAAACTGGAACGGTCTGGGTTTGTTCTACCCGCCAGCAGTAACATGGTTTTACAGCTGCAACAAGTGCATGTCTGAGAGGGCGGGCCGTGTCGGTGAGACTGCATGTTTCAGTCCGCCACTTTAAAGACTCGTGTTTTATAACCAAACACAAGAATGTTCTTGTCCAAGTGTAAAACGGTTTATTTACACGCTGAAGATGTGAAAGTAAAAACAAAAGCATTAATGAGCTTTTTGAATTTCACACAACAGTCGGTGTTGACAGTGATTGACAGCCACTGTCCTGCCCTCTCTGTTGTGCAAAATGTAAATGCAGCCATATGTGGAGCCCAGCAGGTCTCATTAGAAGCTTGACACGCTCAATAATAAATCATCAGAGTGGGAAATTACCAGCAGTCACAGCCGATACGATGACGGAAAAATATGCTTGGTAGGAAAGTTCACTCTTGCAACTAACCATTACGCTGCAGTCCTGTTCTGTTCTTAACATGTACACATCTTTCTGTTTCACAATATGAAACTCCTCTCTGTCATTTGGAGCCAGATTTATTTCTGCTCCATTTTCTTATTTTGCCAAACGTGTCCTGACAGGCCCTGAACACTGTAATTCCTTCACAGGACTCAGTGACAGTGAGGCTTTTCTGTTTGCTGTGATTTGAGATCAAGGCTAAATGCACGCAACATTCAGCCACTAGACTCAAAGCAGACTGTCAACATGTTTTTGTTGCAAAGATCCAGATGTTTTCCAAATCTTCATTCCTTAACTGGATTGGACGAGACTCTTCAGTGTCCAGTTGGATTCAAATGACTTTAAATTACGTTTAATTAAACTGTTGCTTCTGATTATTTCTCCACAAAGCCAAGTGTTACTGAAAGAAAATAACTTAGTCAGTCGTTCTGTGCCATTCCTGAATCGTTCCAAATGCTGGAAGTTCTCAAAATAATTCTCCGCACTTTTCCAGCCTTTCCTGATCTGCATAGAAACCCCCCATCACTTGACTCAAAGCGTGGCACTTTTCCCCCACTGTCTGGCTCGCAGTGTGCTAATGTTTTCCAGGCGAGAATCAGTCGCTTATTCATCCCCTCTTCTTTCTTTTTTTGTCCTCCAAAGGGAATTTTCACCTGAGTCAGGATAAAGCTGTGGAGGCTTGACGGAAACACCCGACCTAAGGCCGCTTGTCTGCCTACGCCTCCTCATCCCTGACTGAACCCTGAGGCTCGCCCACCGGCTCATCTCGGTTCAGCGGGATTACACACAAACTGGAGAGAGTCACAGATATCAAATGTACAGGAACCCATGAATAACCTCCAGAAAGCACCAAAGCAAAGCGACGGTCCCACACACCTCTGACAGACAGCGTTTTGTTTTTTGACCTTTATTTTCTAAGAGAATTTAAAATCTTAAAAAACTGTAAAACAGTGAACTTACGAGCAACATGTGAATGTTTCTCTTAAACGTGGTGAAAATTGAAAGCAGATTTGATCTGGCCATCAATCTTGGTTAATCTATGGAACTAAAAATACAGACAAGAACCAAACTGGGTCTCAGACACTGAGTCATGAAGTTTCAAGGCAGGAATTTTGGCATAAACATTCTGTGGGTTGTTTTTCTGCACTATGAACTCAGATATGAGAAACTATTATTGTTTATTAGAGTGATGAATATGTCAAGAGAAGTTCACAAACTCCACAGTTGCACAACATGGAAAACTGACAAGTGATGAAATGGTTTTTTACTGATATTTTGTCTACAGGTGTGAGTGGGCGGCAGGGAGAGGCACATTTACCCATCATGAACTTGACAGGTATGATGACCTGGCACATTAAAGGGGTTCTACGTGATTCTCAGCATGAAGGTGTCTGAGCCTGCAGCTAGGAGCTAATGGAGCTAACTCCATAAACTGTGCTAAATCGTTAAAGACAACCTTCTTTCATTTAATATAAAATGATATGAAGTCTTTGACAATAAACGGTTCCTCAGTTTCCTCATTTAAAATAAAATATTTCCCAATGTGCAAATGGGCACACCTATACATTTTTTGGACGATGGCAAAGGTGCTGACAGAGCTAACAGTAGCCCCTGTACACTGCCTGTTGTGCCGTTATGCCGCATCATTGTTCTGTATAAATGGTACAATCGCTGAATGATGGGATCATGCGTGGCACAGGTGTGGTGTTTTGACAACGTGTTATGCATGCAACCCACCGCAAGAGATTTAAGAAAACGCTAACTCAATGAAAAAGTAGTTTAGCTAGTGCTAAATGGGGGGTACCGATGGGTGGGTGCTACGCTTCCACAACGCCACCGTGCCAATATCAGCACTAACCACAGTATAAGTGCAATGCAAAGCAGGAATAATGAGCTAGCTGGTGGGATACACATGTGCACTAACATGCACAACAAACCACAGAGAAGCTCAGATTAAATTACTCTGCTGAGAACGCTGTTACTCCACCATATCTTTACAAAGCAGATAAATGATAACAGACCTGCAATTGTGCCTTTCCATTCCTCAACCACTCAGAGCACCTTAACCCGTTCACACACACACACATTCACACAGCGGTGGCCGACGCTGTCATACAAATTAAACACCCACACACATTTACACGCAGCCATCAGGAGCAATCTGGGGTTCAGTATCTTTCCCACGGACACTTGGCCATGCAGACTGGGTATCAAACCAAACAGGGGTTTGCTGCTGTATTAATGCTCTGACTGTCACATACAGAAGCTTTAAAACAAGAAAAGAAAGAGTCATCACTTTTTACCTTCCAGCTGTGTATTTCATGTAGACTGTCATCTGCACAGAGCAGTAACTTACGAGACAAAACCAGCCAGTGTCTGGTTGGAGGTGATTTCCCTGCTGAAGCAGCGTCACACAACGCAGAGGTTTTAATACACAGCCCTCTGGCTACATCTGCTGGACTGACTGGCAAACTTCAGCTCAAGTCTCCAAACTCCAGAGACTCCAAATTTAATGGCTGAACTAAAAATTAAGTTCTAAGTTCACTGTAGAAGGTAAACTGTTGTTTTAAAGTTCTGTTGGTGTTACCTGGTATATCCTGAAGGGGATGTATCTGAAGCCTCCCTCCTCAGTGGGATATTCCATCAGCTTCCTGTTCATGGCCCAGAACTGGTCAAACTTATCTGTAAGAACACAAATACACACAGATAAGCAACTGTAAAGTCTCCAAGTACACACAGCTCAGCTCAACAGATAATGAGACATGATTTGATTAAAAGTCATCTCTCTCCAGCAAGTGAGGGCTGTAAGTGCAAAACAAATAATACTTCTGTTCCTTTATAGTTGTGTTTAGACCAAACGCAAAGCAACACTTTTCTGTGCAGTGCGATTACATACAAAGCCAATGTGAAGACGCAAATACTCTTGTGCACTACTTGAGCAAAAAATTTGCTTGATGCTGTGTCATGAAAGCCGACCAGCGTTGAGATCTGGTTGAGTTTTTCTCTAGACCCGCCTAATATTGAGTGCAGTTACACGGACATGAATAACCAGTTTATTAGGCTTATCCTGGTTATGATCATATTTGGGATACGGTGTTTCCATGAGCTCTGAGAAACCAGGTTATTCATATTCCCATATACATCCTGGTTACTTTCAGAGTACTCCAGCTAGCATGTTGCACAGAAAATGGTGTTTACGTGCGCACACACATAAACAGAATACTCCAAAAACCTGATCATAAACAGGTTTTTCATGTCCATGTCAAAGCACAGATTTTGGGAGAGACTGTGTAGTCAGCAGATATCAGGGCCAACACTTCCTCTTCCATGTGCTGCTCATTTACAGTTCGATCAGCAACTTGAGACGGGTCCAGACAACATTTTAGCTAATGATGTGAAATCTGCACATGAGAGGAGGGAAATAATTTTATTTTAGAAACTAATAGAAAGCTTAATTGTCGCTAGGTGACAAGTGATGGGGTTGACATTGCATTTCGGCCATGTGTTTCACTTTTTTTGCTCTCCACACGGACTGTTTACATCAGGCAACCAAAGCTCGCTCAAACATAATTGGCCAATCCTACTCAGACTACAGACAAACACCAGAACACTTCAGGTACTTTCTCCTGACATCAGCGAGAATAAGAAACAAAGTGCAAACAAATTGTCGCTGTCTGTGGGAACCTGCAGCTCTACGACTTAACGTCAGTAAGTCAACACAAACAAGAAGAAAGTGAGTAAAGCCACACAACTACAAGGTCCTCAGTCCTCAGTGTATGTATGTGTTACTATCAGTTGTTCTTCACTACGGACCAAGTTAGCAATAGGGCTGCAACGATTAGTTGACTAATCGATGACTCATCGACTATTAAAATAATCGGTGACTATTTTAGTTGGTTTGAGTCATTTTTCATAGAAAAGTACTGTAAAAGTACCCAAAATACTCTTATCACAGCTTGTTACATTCAATTATTGGCAGCTTTACACACTCTCCCATGACGGTGAACTAAACCCCTTTGCCGTGAGTACGAACAAGACATTAGATGACATCATTTTGGGGTTTGGGAGAAACAGACCGACATTTTTCAACATTTTAAAATAAAAGATAAAATGATTAGTCGACTAATCGAAGAGATAATCGACAGATTAGTTGACAATGAAAATAATCGTTAGTTGCAGCCCTAGTTAGCACTGATGTTAGCATTAGCTTCCTTTTGCAAAATACTCCAAAAAAAAAAAAAAAAAAAAAAAGGATGATAAGATAAAGACTGCTCGTCTCTCTCGTCTTCTCTTACTGTTGTTTCCACATAACCAAAACAAAGCTGATGTGCTTTCACTTCTCTGTGATGATCACTATTACGATCTAACTTATCATCATGTCTTTTGTTATTCTGACAAACTGCAGCACACAAAAATGTGACCTAACCTGAAGGTGCACCTGCACAGGCAGCAGGAAACAGAAAACCTGTCCAGAGCTGAAAGACTTCTTGTCTTGTTGTTTGATCAGACATTTTATGATCAAATCAAAACTGCAAATTTTAAACTCAATGACTACTTGTGTTTAACATTTGAAGCAGAGGGGTTGGTAGAAAAAACATCTTTCTAAAAGTATTTAAATTTCTCTATATTGTTATTAAAACTGAGACAACATTTTGAAACTATGGAAACATTTCAAACAATTCCCTGCACTGGTTCATGCCACTGCACCTCAGTGTCTCTGAGAATCGCCAAGCTGTAGAAACATTTTCAGATGCCACTAAAAAAGCTTCATAGTGCAACTGACTCTGTAGCTTAAAAGTTAAATATTGTTGGCTGCAGGTCTGGTTGTCTTGGAGGATGACAGTAATGCCATTAAAAAACTCACAGTGTGATATGTTACAAAGAATGACGCAAGGTGAAATTATGTGTACAGTGTAAAATGTGCAAGAGACTCAAATTGTTCTTTAACCTGAACGAACACCAGCTTCTGTTCACCTCCGCCCCTTCACACAGAGAGCAGAGGTCAGAGTCAGTCATGGAGAAGAACCTCTGAGAAGGCTGATGGAAACTGAGCATCTTCTATCAGGCACAATTCAGCAGGTCGGGTCGAGGAGCTTTAGCTTTGGTGATCTGGTTGGAGGACGGCATTTCATCATCTAAAACGAGTCCTCCCTGCACGCTCTGGTTTCAAACCCTCCATCTCCTCTCACCTCTCGCTTTCACACCAACCTTCTGTTTTCTCTCCTGGATGAAAGTACGAGCCATCCCTGTTTCTCTCTCTCTGTTTCTGGTCTCTTTTGGGTGTGAGAGTTTTGGTTTAGAAAAAGTTTCATCTCTCACTTTCATGTGTAACAGCCTGCTTCTGTTTGGATTAGTTCACAATTCTTATCTGTTTCTGTGTTTAACGGAGTTACAAACTGTTTCAAACAGCGTGAACCGCACCCTGAACTTTTCACTGCATCTTTTAATCTGTCTCCTACATTCATGTATTTTGTTCCTCTCTAGTATAAAGATGTGTCATCACTCTCTGTGAGTTTCAGGGGAAAGTGGAAGAGAGAGAAGCAGCTGAAGTTTTGTGGGTTTGTCTGCAAATCTGTTCAAAACATCCTCAGTGCTCCGTGCACACTTTGACTCTTACATGTCATTTGAATACTGCAACAAATGATCTCCAGTTTTCTGAACATTACTTTACTTTCCTGTTAATTTTGTTGTGAAATACTTGCACACACTGCAGCGAAAAATGCTTACTAATAACTGGAAATCAAAAGCTGCACGTCCCCAAATACACTGAATTAATGAACTTACTGCACACCTGAAAAAATATTATGTAATGCCTTCAGGGATGTGACTCTTCCTGGACCAACTTTTAGTTTAACCTTTATGTCCAAATGTCCATAAAGTTTAATTTCAGTTCAGCCTCTCTGTAAATATATTTAAGTAATAGTATCCTTATAGCTATTTTTTAGGTTTTGGTTTTTGTTCTTTGCGTCTTTCCTATTGTTTCTGGATATTTGTACTTTTACTTTTTCTTATTAAAATATTATTTTCACATGCACAAACGGAAACACATTTGGAGCAGCACCTGCACTGTAATTTGAACGTCTGTTTTTAAAAACAAATCTTTGCAAATGTGTTCTGAAATATCCTCAGTTTGTGTTGAAGGTTTTTCAAGTAACCATAATATATTTGGACCCACTTGCCGGGCATTTTTCAAACATACCAGATTCAAACTTTATTCAAACATAATTTCATGGCGTTGGCACACAAGACGGAAGAGACGGCAGGCAGGGACAAAATGAAGAAAAATATGTGATGATGAACAAAAAATTGTCACACACCGACGCTTATATGAGCTACGTTGCGTCAACAGTAGCAAGCGTGAAATTTAATTGATCACTCGATAGGCCATGCAGTGCTGCCACAGTGTATGTAATATGCTGCTGTGAGCTGTAATTGAGGGAAAAAACACATCTGGTATTGTTTGGTATGAGCAAAGTTTTATGTTTTTTTTAAATCATGATTAATCGATTACTCGATTGTTAAGTTGACTAATAATCTATGAAGGAAAATGCTTCCAATTTGCGTCGACAGCCACAGAAAATAAATTTGCCGTTATGTTGCATGACGTGGGAGGTTAACCACGGAGGATTACTGTAACAATTTCATTACAAAAGAAAATCCCATGACTTTTCCAGACCTGAAAAATGTGATATGAAGTTCTGTGACTTTTTTAGATTTTCCATGACTGTGGGAACGCTGAGTGTTTCACAAACAGCAGCTTAACTTCAAGAGAAATTATCAAAATGTAAATGAAGGGACCAGTGAGTCAGAATATCATTTATGTTAAAAGTTACTGTACATTGTTTTCTGCTTTTATTAGTGAGTCGGCTGTGATCACTATTAGAGGATTAACAGTTTATTATTTATAGAGGTAAAATTATAGATACTTCTGACACTATGAAGATGAGAGGCTCCTTCAGAGCAGCACAGGAACAATTTCAGTGTTTCACTACAGACAGAAACAATATACTGACAGCACATTCAAATATACGTTAAGGCCAACTTTCACTCATGTGGGAGTTAACATTACAGTTAAAACCTGTCACATGGCTCGTTCATTCTACAGTGGATAAAACATATTTAACTTGTATTGATCTTTGTTGATCTTTATCAGTTTAGTTTATCAATTTTGTCCATTGTAAAAAAAAACATCTGCACACTTTTGAAACTTGTTAAAGTTGTTTGATCAAACTAAAATCTGAAATATTTGCAGGTTTGAGCTTTTTAAGTTTTAGAGTATTTTACATTGAACACATTTTTGCTTCTTATTTTGGAGGATAAAAAAGACATTTGAAGGAATTACCATGGCTTTTTTTTTTTACAATTCTAACAATTCATTGACTTAATGACTGATTGATTAATCAAAAAAGTGATTGATAGATTAATTAAAATGAAACTAATTGTTTGTTGCAACCTAACTCAACAGAAAGAAGAGTTACTGTGTGCTAATGATGACGAGTTCAGAAAGAGGAGAGGCAAGACAAGTCTAGATTAAAATAAGGTGACATATTTATAAGTGACTGGCTGAGAGAGACGCAACATCACTGGTGACCAATGTGTTTATTGTTGCTGTGTTTGATCAACTCGACCTGCAGTGATTCCAAGAATCTCACACCACGCTTTTGGTTTTGTTCTTCAAAGATGAGCTCAAACCTCAAACTTGAGAATCCACCCCACCAACCCCCCTCCCCCCCCAGCGCCGGCTCCCACATCAGAGGCTTCGTCCAATGCTTCAGCCCCCCCCCCCCACCCCAGCTTCACCTACACAAACCGCCGCAATCACAACCAACGGCCAATCAGAGATCAACCTGAGCAGACGGGTGGCGACGGAAAGGGAAGCTGGTGGGTGTTTAGGTGGGAGACGTTTTGGAAGTGGAGGCTTCAAAGACTGCTATCAGACTAAAGGGAGATTTGTGTGTGTGTGTGTGTGCGCTGTAACATACAAGAAGTGTGTGCACACATGTGTGCGAGCATGTGTGAATCGCTGTGTAAGTGTGTGTGTTGCAGGGAGACAACGTGTGTGCATCTGAGTGTTAATGAGTGAACGTGTGTCACTTCCCCAACAGCTGCTTGTGGTCTTTCTCTTTTGAAAGTGTGTGTGTGTGTGTGTGTGTGTGTGTGTGCCCTCCTCACCTTTGAGCATGCTAATTCACAGCTGCTTATAGAAATGTGTGTGTGTGTGTGTGTGTGTGTGTGTGTGTGTGTGTGTGTGTCTCACCGTTCTGCAGGCCCATCCACAGCTGTTTATGATCTTTCTTCTGCATGTCATTGACGACTTGGCTCTTGTGCTTGAGGGCGTCGGCCTCCTTGATGCTGGACATGAAGTGGGCTTCGATCACAGAGTTGGACGGGCAGTGGAGCAGGTCGCGCTCTGGAAAGTTCTGACACATGCACAAGAAAAACATTTTATTTAAAGCTGCATTCTCGTATCTTTAACCACTAGGGGCAGAAGAGCTCCACAACAAGCTGTCGAACATGTTATCAAACTGTCTACATGTGAATCTACTGCGGCAGACACAGGGCGAAGTTATCATTTAAGGAGCAGTGCCACATTCACATTCTGTGTGTGTTGCTCTGTCAGCATTGTTGCTGTTGTTTAGCACTGTTAACTGCCGGCCACCTGCTCAGCCACTTCTATATTGAGAACTGTGTGCAGCAACTCATCCACTCTGAATTTGCCCTCAAATTTACGACTACAGTTGAACACAAACTGTAGTTTAGTTTAGTTTAGTTTAGTTTATTTCGGTCATTTTCAAAATATGGACTCAAATACAACAAAGAAGAAAAGAAAACAATAAATAAACCTGAAGTCAATGCTAATATAGCATTACACCAAAATACAAACAAACAAACAAAACGAGACCGAAAAGGTGTAGGCTGAAGCTTAGCTTATTACGCCTACCGTTTTATAATCAGTTTCTGTCAGCTCCTACATAACTGTATACAGAGCAGTAGAGCCAAAAAAGAAAACATTAAATATACTTTTACATGGACCTATTATCAATTCAAACTCAGACACTTACAAATACACTCACACATTATATTTACTTGATGAGCAAACGATTCTTCAATATTTTTTTAAATATTACTTCACCCTTTAATTTCCATTTCCAAGGCATTCCACAGATTAACCCCATAAACTGAAACACATCTTGGTTTGACATTGGTTCTGTTCTTTGTTTTTGTGAACGTGCAGCTTCCTCTCAGTTCATACACACTTTGTCTTTTCTGAAACAACTTCTGGATACAGTGTGGCAGCAGATTATTATATGCTTTGAACATCAACAGTGATATTTTGAAATCTACAAATTCACTGAATTTGAGCATGTGAAAATGTATAAATAATTTGTTTGTTGGTTCCCGATAATCAGCTCTGTTTATAACTCTGATCGCTCTTTTCTGAAACAAAAGAATTGGATTAGTGATTGTTTGTATGATTTCCCTCAAACCTCCACACAGTAAGTAATGTATGGTAGTATGAAGGAATGATACAATGTTTGTAATGAATTTGTATTAAGAATTTCTTTTGCTTTATACAAGATTGCTATAGACTTTGATATTTTCTTTTAAATATAATCTATATGCAGTTTCCAACATAATTTATGGTCAATGACAACTCCCAAAAATGTATTCTCGTAATCTCTTTCTATTTCAATTTTATCTATCATGATTTGAACCTTTTTATTGACCTTACGATTTCCAAAAATTACATATTTGGTTTTATTTACATTCAATGACAATTTATTGACACTGAACCAATGTTTTAAAATATCTAATTCCATTTCCACTGTATCCAGCAGCCGTTCAAGGTTTTTACCAGAACAAAATAAGTTAGTATTGTCTGCAAACACAACAAAATTTAACAATTTGGACACATTACAAATATCATTTATATACAATATGAATAATTTTGGACCTAGTACCGATCCTTGTGGAACCCCACATACAACCTGCAGCAGGTCAGACTTGTTATTGTGAATTTGAACATATTGATGTCTATTTTCAAGGTAGTTATTGATCCATTTATGTGCTATCCCTCTTACTCCATATTTTTCTAACTTGTTCATTAAAAGTCTATGGTCAGTTGTGTCGAATGCTTTTCTCAGGTCAATGAAAATGCCAACTGTATATTCTTTATTGTCTATACTGCATTCGATATACAGATAAAATATACAGAAACACAGTATTGTGGACACTGTGCATGGACACGCACTCTGTGGTTGACTCTCACCTTAAAGTGCACAGTGATGCTCCAGGGTAAGACAGTGCTGGACGCGTGGAAGTCAAACAGAACTCCAATTGGATAGTGCCTAGAACCGGGAAACACAAACAGGAAATAACGTTACCCGTGAAAACCTTGACTCAACATCACAGACGAGAATGAGTTCAGTTCCCCAGACCGAGACACTCCCATTATTCCTTGGGAAAATCTTTGAACTAACCACCAGTATCACATAGTTTTATCTGCCCAAACCTCAACACTGCGCGTCCATTTAGACCTGACCAACAAACCGTCATTAGCAAATGTACTAAAATGACTGCTGAAGTTACTGTGACTTATTGAGAGATTCAAGGAGACAAGTAGAATTGGTGTCAGTTTTTTGTCGTTTTCCGATGTTGTTGCGTTTGCTTTTCTCTGGAAGTTTAAACTTCAGGAGACAGTTTACATTTCACTCAAGCATTTCTATTTGTCATTTCCTGTGTTTCAGTCAACAGGGACGAGATGCTTTCCTTATCGCAGCGTCAGATCAAATGAGTGTATTTAAGATATTTTCACGGCCAATCACACTCACTGACTATGTTAGTCATTTAGTTCGAGTTCCCCTAAATCCCACCACACAGTTTGTACCTAATCAGTTATTTACAGAATGCCAAAACTGAGGACAAACTCCCATTACAGGTTTACAAAGAATCTACAATTTCCAATGAGTCAAGAAAAGCAGCAAACGAGATGTTGCATCTCAAGGGGTTTATCCCGTTAATAAAGAAATTTCACAGCAGTACGTCACATTTAAGAGGCTGAAACCAGCAAACATTACTGATATTTACACATGATAACAAACAATTAAAAGGATATCAGAAGTGATATCTGTAACTTATTCATTAAAAAGTATTTTACCCATATTACTGGAGATTTGCTGACACTGTCAACCAGGCGCATCATCTGTGCTGCAGTACTGACACCTTGTGGCTGAACTTTGTGCCTGCAGTCTGTGAACTTAATGTGATGCTGATCTCAGCAGACATGCAGATAATAAACTAAGTAGGTGCTCATGGTTCAGACTAGCTGAGGCTTCTGTCCTGGCTGTGAATGAGTAGCCTCAGAGCTGGAGGTGGTGTGAACACACTGCTATGGATCTGACTGTGACATTTGCAGGGGAATGTGGATGTTTACTTGAGGCAGCAGAACAAGGTACACAAACGAGGAGGAGACTAAACATCCCACAAAACAGACTGTAATAGTTTGGGGATCACTTATTTTTAACAAGCCATTTTCCTATGCAGATTTTAAAGCAGATAGTTGGATAAACCCACAGGTATTTTATTTGAGGAAATGTCTACAAGTTCTACAATCAGCAAAAATAAAACTGTATATGTATCAAAGCTGTAAATATAGACAGCGCAGGCAGTGCTGCTGCACTGGGGCCCATGAGGTGAGGGGGCCCATAGAGAGAGCAGGCCCTCCAACCATGTGTTAAGGGGAGTATGGGTCCTTTTAAGTGATGGCCACCTTCGAAATCTGCCTGTGTTCAAATAAGAACTCTCAGAAATTAAAGGGGAACTAATGTTTTTTTCAACCTGGGCCCTATTTTCGGATCTACTTTTGTCTAAATGAGTGAAAGGATGTTCAATATGTGACATTTCTTCAGTATGAAGCTAGGGCTGACCTGCCTGCAGCCTATGAGCGCGCGCTATATTAAATAATAGGGCACTCAGACGGCGTCAAACAACGTCAAAATACGTCCACTAAAAGTGCATTCTTTTCTCACAGATAGGCTCGGATTGTTAGTATAATTATCTGACAACATAACGGAAAGGAGAAATGAACGTGTGTGTTTACCTTTAGCTGGATTCAGACATGTTCCTCTGCCTGTTGCTGCTCCCTCTCTCTCCTCGTCCGCTCTTCAATGAGCTCTGCGTCCGTGTACGTCCGTGTACGTCCGTGTACGTCCGTGTTCAAATAAATACGGGCGCTCATCAAATTCAAATGGCTCATCCAGATCCAGTTGGTCAAAATCGGGTAAAAATTCAGCCATGACTACTCCAAACAGAGTAACTCCTCGCGTTTGTAAGGTCACTCCAGCGGTAACTTCCTGCAACAACTCAAATCTTGCGAGACGTGAGATTTCAGAGCCAGACTTTCACTCTAAGTGAGTGTTTTGACTTGCCACAACAACAAACATGTCCAAATTTTTACCCAGTTTTGACCAACTGGATCTGGATGAGCCATTTGAATTTGATGAGCGCCCGTATTTATTTGAACACGGAGTACACGGACGTACACGGATGCAGAGCTCATTGAAACTGAAGAGCGGACGAGGAGAGAGAGGGAGCAGCAACAGGCAGAGGAACATGTCTGAATCCAGCTAAAGGTAAACACACACGTTCATTTCTCCTTTCCGTTATGTTGTCAGATAATTATACTAACAATCCGAGCCTATCTGTGAGAAAAGAATGCACTTTTAGTGGACGTATTTTGACGTTGTTTGACGCTGTCTGAGTGCCCTATTATTTAATATAGCGTGTGCTCACGGGCTGCAGGCAGGTCAGCCCTAGCTTCATACTGGAGAAATGTTACATATTGAACATCCTATCACTCATTTAGACAAAAGCAGATCGGAAAATAGGGCCCAGGTTGAAAAAACATTAGTTCCCCTTTAAAAACAGCCATTTGATATAAATGCAGCTGAAAAAGACAAACACATCTCTGCCATGATTATTTTCTCTTTTTTTGTAAAATAGTCAACAGTCATCTGTAACAAAATTATATGCTTATTCTATCATTATAAATCACCCATTAAAATTGTTAAATTAAATTCATAATTTCTTTTTTTCTTTTGTGTTTTTGTCAAATAAAGATATGCAATCATAATTGCTTGGTAATATATATGTTGATGTTATCCAGCGTAGAGTCTCTGATCATGTGACGAGATGATATGTGCATGACAGTGTGCGCTAGGGTCTGTCAAAATAGCATGCACCTGGCTCCATTGAAACTACCTTACACCTCTGGTATGAATAATAAGAAAATAATGAGATTCTGATATATAAATACAACAAACTGCTCTTTTTATTTAACCTTTTTTTTTTTAACCAGGAATGGTACCAGTGAGATTCAAAATCTCTTTTTCAAGGGAGTCCTGGCCGAGAAGGCAGCATGAAGAATTTCACATAAAAGAATTAACAGATTAAAAACACACACAGTAACAAGATTAAACCAACAGCATAAAAACTCACCCATAAGAAACAAACAACAGACTTAAACCCAACAGCCAGTTTACCACAATTACAATTAGCAGCATTCAGTAACCATTCATGCACAGTCAGTGGTCAAAGGGTCTTTAATCCTGTTGTAAAATCTCCCATGTTTATAACAGAATCTACTTTAAGGAGACTCTGTAGCTGAAATCAAGACGAGGGAGCAAAACTTTAAAAGCACTTTCACCAAAGACAGTGCAGATTTAGGGAGTGACGTACATGAGCTGTCTACGTGAGCAAAGGCTGCAGCTACTGACAGTTTTAGAGTCAGTAGAGAACATAAATAAGGAGGCAGTTCATGTTCGATGGCCTCATAAAGAAAAGTGTACCAGAGTTCTGTTCTACAGCTGTATAGAGAAGACAAACCAACTTTCTCATACTAACTGTCAGGATGTGTGGAAACCTGAGTCAGAGACAAATCACAGCGCAGCACGGTTCACTGAATTTTCAGGCAGGATGAATTTGCATGCAGATATAAAATGACACCAGAATCAACCGATTTTTCACTCGCGCCAAAAGAGACACAGCATTTGTTTCTCTGATAGAAACCAAGAACACTTGATATGATGTTTGAAAGACAGCTTGTCTTCTGGGAAAACAAACAGGTATTGATACACGTTCAATCGCCTCATTATTTAAGCAACAATCTGATTTACATCATCAGCTGTCATCTTCAGACTGAAAAGCACGTCATTTTCTTTCTATCAGCATTCAAGTCTCAGTTCACAAAGTTTCCTCTGAACGAACTGAGACTTACACTAACATACATTTGGCTTACAGGCTGCAATAATGGACAACCAGGGACACAAGGTAACACATTCAAAAATCCACCATCTTTGTTTCCCCTGAGAGAAACTATCTAAATCCGTTCATCCAGCGACCGCTCTCTTACCATTTCAGTGGCGTCCCTTCGTACTCGAACCACATCTCCTCCACGTCCTCGGCCCTCATGACTTTATGGAAGTGTTTCTTCACTTTGTCTGTGACCAGAGTCAGGTAGCTCACCCTGGGTAACAGCAGCTGAGAGAGCCGACGGGAGACACGAAGAGACATGTTGCTGTTTACATCATTATAGTAAAGAGCTGCAAGTAGTGTGTTTGTAGTCAAAGTGGCTGTGCTCGGTGTGTTTATTGAAAAATTAGAAAAATGCTGAGGCTTTCTTCAACCTGCTCTGTGGTGTCTTCAGTTTTTCCAGTCTCCACATACACAGATTCTGATGTGAATTTTACACACAGGGTCTGATATCAACACCCACCAAGTGTCAAATGTAGGTAGATTTTTTGTTTGGTGAGTAAATCTCAAAGGGCTATCCACCACACTGGCGAATAAATGTTTGTAGCAAAATAGTCATGTAAGAAAAAACTATGCTGAGAATCCCAACCTGACTTTGGTGTCATAAATTACAGGCACATTGCTCTGTCGCTCCTCTGTCTGTCTGTCTGTCTGTCTGTCAGAGCAGCAGGGCATCACAGAAACACACACAGATGCGCACAAACTGTGATGTGTACTTAAACGCATCTGCAGCAAAACTGACCATTTCAAGCACTCCTAGTTACGTGACACTGTTTATCATATAGGATGTGAGCTGATCCACTTAACTATCACTTACCACTGGTCTGCAAAGAAGAGGGTGACTGAGGGTGAAGCAAGTGAGGAGTCTGAGGAGGATGTTTAAGTTGATCACAATGATTGAGAATCCACCAGGTTTACAAAACCTTCAAGTGTGCTTTTATGTTTGACCCTCAAGTACATCTAAAAACAAATACTACAGCAGAATTTTGAGATCAAGCCATCTCGAGTTGTTTTCTGGCTTGAACAGCTGATCATTATATGAATATAATTTTGGTTCAAATCTTGCTCTGGTCTCATCCTTAAGTTTGAATTCAATGAAATGTACTGAAACTGATGTGAATGTGATGCAAAAAAGCCATTTATTTTTTTGCCAGTAAATCTCAGACACTTATTTTTGATTTGAAGGTGCACATTAGCTGCAGTGTGCTTTTAACACCCTGTGATACACTACAATGAACCACGCTAAAGACAACAGCTCTTCTTTTCATCAATAATGAATGTGCAGGCATGTTTTCAGATTTTAAGTACAAGGGAGTACTGTGTGGCGTTGTTTGTGCTGAAGCAGCACGCTGTGAGTGAAAAGCTCCTTTCTCCTCTGACCACTGTTCAATAAGAGCAGCTACCAGACTGACAGAGAGCACAGAGGACAGCAATCATGTGATAAATGAATGGCTAATTACACCGCTACTATTAATCACTCACATACACTGTGAGGCCCAGTCCATCCATGACACAATATTTTAATGTCAAGTTTACACAAATGCCTCTGATTGTCAAAATGACATAAAAACTTTATGTTCACTTGACACAAAAACTCATCCCTTGTGAGCCCGACAGAACTTTATTTATTAAATGTTAAATTCCTGCCAGACAAGGATCATGTGGCACATTTTTATTTTTTGTCTGGTGTGCCCAAAACTTCTGTGTTACTGTCTTGTACTAAGCTAAAAGTTTTGAGTGTAAGCTGTCTCCAAAAAACATTTAAGTTAAATGAGCAAATTTAGGTTTACAGTGTACACCCTGCTGATGAAACACACAGGATACAGCTTTTTGTGTCTCTGTATTCATTCACACACACTCCTGTTAGACACAAAGCTGTGGGCTTAGATCCAGGAACCATGGAGGTGAGTGTCTCAGCACTGATGGCGGGTAAAAGCAACAGTCAGGTGTGGCCTCAGGTGTTAGAGCCATGTGAAGACAGACAGTAAGACTTACATAGTAGGGCTCGGCCTCTCTCTCAGTGACCTCATCCTGGTTCAGGGTGAAGCAGGTCGGGATCCGGCCGAACCAAACGTCTCTCAACACGTCCTTGTCATCTGCCATGCTGCTGCTGCTCCCAGCGGCACATACAGAATAAATCCCCCAAACACAGAGCCAGAAGTCCAGCAGCAGACAACTTCCTGCTGTCAACAACACAGCAAAACACACAGGAGAGCATGAATAAAACTTTTAGCAACACGAACCCTAAAAACCACAATGAAGAGGGCAGTGAAACAGAAGCTAGCACCACATTGACTCTGGTTATTAAGCTTCCAGCAAGCCGCATCTGTCTTTATCAGATCGTTAGGGGAGTTATTACTAAGTTATAAACCAGGAGAAGACAGCGACTCGCCTGCTAGACTCTCAAACTAACTCCAAACCTGTCAAACTGCGCAGATGTTATGCAGAAACTGACGTTAGCTTGAAGGCTAGCTAAGCTAACTTAGCTCGTGAAAACACAGCAAAGAAATGTTTATAATAAACAAATGCGCGTGCTGCCTGTGTGTCGTTGTTATTGTCCACAAACTGAATCGTGTTGTGTGCGAGGAAGAGACGGTGATACGTGAGGAAATCTTACTTTAGTCGATGTGTAGCAGTCGGCTTGAATGGAAGGAGGGCCGTGACTCGATGTTGTCATTCCCCTGCTGTCACCGGAAAACAGCTGAAAAAAACCGCTCACCGCAAAACAGCGACACTCAGCGGTCAGATCGGTGTACTGCAACAACAACAACAACAACAACAACAAACATTTAAAACTTAACGATGTTTATAAAAATTATTGACATTTTTAAATTAAATGCAAAATTAAGTTTATGTAGCAAATATCTAATGTATTTTAATCAGCCTGTAGGTTTTATATTGTCATAAAAATCTAAACGTGTTTGTGAACAGATTCATAGTGATTGCTGACACGTCATCAACGTGCGACACGGCTCGTATGTGACGAGGCTGTCTGTTTTCTGTTGTGTCCACCGGTAGCTTCAAGAATGGATAAAAAACTAGAGGTGGATAATCTGGAGATGCGTCTTCAGGCGCTGGAGGGTCGTTTATACGGCGAGAGGAGAAACAAAAGTGGAAAACCCGTCAAGGTTCGTTCAGAATAATGTTTATTGTTAGCTAGCTAGCTGTTAGCCTAGCGCAGCTAACGATGGCTCTGTCACTGAGTGAACGCCCTTTTTATTTTGTGCACATCAGCTGTACACCATTATGTTTTATTATAAATTGTTACAGACAGTATTAATTAGAGTATCTTTATTTACCAGCTGAACTGCCGCTGTGTTAGCTGGTTAGCTATTCTAGCGTTAAGGTGGCTAATTGCAAATATAGCAAGTTGCTAGCTGACAGTTATGACATCATAACTGTGTCTTTTAGTTTAGTACTGCGTGGAAAATAATCAACAGTGCAATATGTAAAAAACGATTAAATGTGAGATATAAAAACTGAGCCTAGTTTTAGACCTGTATGCCTGATTTTTACTGTTACACATGTTTATACAATTGCAAACTGTGCAATGATATTTACAGGCTATATTTCTATATCTTGACAGTCACTATACTACACACCATGTGTGTATATCAGTGATCCTGTGTAGCTATCAACTATGGACACACAGTATCTGTATATGTTAGAGGTGTACATAGTGTATCATTTTATTTTATTTTCTATAGTTTGTATTTTTGAAATATTTTATCCTTTTTAACACTCAGTCACTTTTTTGCTTTGTGTATCTGGCTTCTGACTCTTGAGCTGCTGTGACATGTGAATTTCCACATTGTGAGAGTAATAAAGTCTCATCTCATCTCATCAAATGCTCTGTGGTAATTGTACTTTGCGTATTGTTGGGTTGTGGACTGTTGTCTGACGAAACATAATTTAAAGACACCCATCTGTGTTCTGTAACAAAAACCAAAAATAAGACTGCCATTTCTTTCCTATCTGAAGCAAGTTTAAAGTGTTGAGTTACAGTCTTTTTTAAGCAGCTGAGTGGGGCGTCTCACCAGAGCATCATATGATGTGATGAAGACTTTTAACTTACAAAGGAGCATTTGTTTCCTGGAGGATGTTGTAGTTGCAGGGGTGGAGAAAGTGCCAGTTGCTCAGAGTCCTGAAAAAGTATTTCTATGTTTCTGATAGTTGACTGAAGTTAACTTTAAAGTACAGGTGTAAAAAGCATTTTTAACTAGTAGCAAAAAATGCTCATTCGAGCTGTACTCAGGATGAGCATGAAAATTTTGATACTGTGAGTGTGAATAAGCAAATGGTCATGTTTTGCCTGCTTATTGCAAATCCTTTGAAGGTAGTAAACCTCCAGCTCTTAAAGGCACAACACACAGGGCAAATCAGAGAAGAAAGTGCCCAAATTAAAGAGACTATATCATTGTGTTGTTGCTAGACACTCTAATGAAATGTAATGCCTTGCCTATGCTGTTGTTAATCGATAACTTTAAATCAAATTAATGTCCTCTGTCCTGCAGTGTGCTGAGTCTTTGGCCAGGATCCAGGCAGGTCTGACAAACACAGCCAACAAGAGAGAACGAGTGAAGATCCTGCACAAGAAGAGTGAGACACACACTGTGATGTATCTGTTGTAACAGTTTGACCACCAGGACCCCTCATTATTGAAATATTTGAAAAGCTAATGTCATTCACACATCTGCATTACATTAAAGAAATCAAAATCCTGACATAAGATGACAAAGTGCTGCAGAGTGCATGTATTTCACAACAGTGCTTGCAGGAATTTTTCCGTAGTCAGATTTTGGACTGTGTTTGGTGAGTCTTTAATCATAATTATTGGTGTTGTGGTGCAGTTGAGGACCTGCTGAAGTTCCTGGACCCCCAGTTCACTGATCACATCACTGTGCCTGATGCCATGAAGCTGGAGTTCATTCTTGCCGGTAAGAAGCAGCAGGACCCTGGAGCAGAAAAATACAACATAACATCTATGTACGACTGCAGTCACATTGATCTTAGAGAGTTACTTTTATTATGTATTTATTCTATATGAAGCCAAATAGTCTTTAAAGTTCTAATGTTTAAGGCCATATGTGTAGGTTAATGTTTAATATTTAAGTTATCACATAAACAAGAATTATTTTATGGTAGAAGACTAAAGGAGCAACTCACATCTGATTGAGTACTGACTGTGATGCTGCTGTGTTTGTCTCACAGAGGAGGACTTCCTGCTTTCCCAGGCTGCTTTGCTGGAGCAGGTCAGCACCTTGCAGCCACTGTTGGACAGCACCTACATCAGAGGTGAGTCTCACCTGAGAGGACAGTCAGCAAAGAAACATCTGCTCTGTGACTTTACATCTGACAGCAAAGTAGGAATTAGCTCATTTTTTTCTGCTGTTTGACAGTGTCCTAAAATTTAAAGATGGATTTAGATGAAATTTGTTGGACAGATTTGCTTGTTGTCTTTTTTTAAAGCTGAATCTATCAAATAATGTGTTCATGAAAGGAGGTTTGAGATCCAGGACTTTACTGTCTGCTGCTGAAAGGTGTCATTGTGTGTAGTTCTGTATGAAATTAAAGCCTGGAAATGAAAAAGTAAAGTTCAGTTGATCTTAGAAATGACTTTGTTGTTTTTCCATATCCAAAATACCATCAGCACAACCTTCAGTATCTGCCACTTCTAATACAACAGTGGTGCTTTAAGTACCTTTTCTTTGGATGTGTTTCCATCCACGCAGCATTCTGACCATGTAGCAGTGATACTGTTGCACATTCACAACATGTCTTTTATTGTGACGACATCAGTTTACATGGTTTAAGATAGTTTTGTTATTGGATTGTAATTTCATAGCCAGTGTTTTTAGCCCACATTGGTTGGATGTAAAATATTAGACGTGTGTTTCTGCAGCTCCACATGAGTCCCTGACTTCATGCTTCAGCTCCTGTTTCACTTCTGGCAGTATTAAACCACAATTATACTGTCAGCTGTAAACATAATTCTGTCATGTGTTAGAGAGCAATGAATGTGACCTATGTGTTTATTTGGACTTTGAGCCTGTTGATTCAGTGATGTAGGGTTTACAGTGGTGTTGTACAGCTGCTGTTTCCCCTCTCAAGCCTCTGTGTTAACTGTGTGTCTCTGTTGCTCACAGATGTTCCAGAACACGCCACCAAGCTGCAGCGTCTGTCACAGATTCACATCAAAGAGCAGGTAAACCCCACCTCCAGCTTTCTGTTTCTCCTCCTGCGTCATTGTGTCTGTCTCTGGACAGGTTTGATCTGTTCACTCCTCCATGTTTGTCTTGTCCACAGGACCAAAGTGAGGCTCAGTCCCAGGAAGTGAAGAGGCTTTTTGAAGAATACAACAAAATGGTACACTTTTCTTTTCGCAAGCTGTGTCTGTGACTTGTTTTTTTAATTTCAGCAAACTAAAAATTCCTGCAAGATAAATTGTAACGCATAAAAAACTGTTAAAGTTTTCAAAATTTCTACATTTCATGTAACTACAAACTTCTTATACTGTCTTATCTCTTTGGGGATAAAAGACATGAAATAATGACATGTAAATACTTAAATAATGAGCAACTTGTTAAGAAATGTTCCAGTTTAACACAGACTCCCTGCAGTTGGCATTTGGGTTAATTGTACAGTTTATCAGTCACTGAATATGATATTGAACATCCATAAAAGATGCCACTCAGTCAGCGATCGTCAGTTTACTCAGTGATAGAGAAGGGTCCCCTGAAGGAAAATGGTTGGCAATCAATGGTCTATGTCACCAACTTCTGACCAAAGTCTAGTATATTTGCTCCAATCCAGTTGATGGAAACGCCTCTGATTCACATTTCTTTTTAGCGACATTTCAGAAGTTTGCCTAAAATGATCTTGAAGTTTTAATGGAAAATCAGAGAACTTTAGACTCAGATCGCTGCTCAGGTTTTGTCTGGTGTCCGTCGACCTCTTGATGATAAACTGCTGCTGGTACAAAGCTCCTCCCACTGACCCCTGACCTCTGATTGGCAGATGTTCCTGCTGTCCAAGCAATTCACTCAGTGGGACGAGACCCTGAGGAAGCTGGAGGAGGCCAAAGGCATTCGGCCCGTGGAGTAGCTCCTGTCAGCACACGCACTTCTGAGGAGGATGGTGATGATGAAGAAGACCGCACTGTGGTGGGAGCGTTAGATCAGACAGGTGTTCCACGTGAAGCTCGTTCTTCCCCAAGAAGTCTGAACAAAAGTGAGACGAAAAGATCACAACATTTCACTTTAATAGAAGTTAAATAAATCAGACAATGAAACACTGATAATTCCCTCATTTCATGATATTGTTGGTTTTTAGAAAATTCTCCACTCAAAGCAGATAATGTCACTTAAAACTGTGTGAAATGAAAAATCTGACACAAGTTCAGCTGTCCTATAAAAAGGAGTTTTTATTTTTGCAGTGATGGAAAGAAATATAGAAAATAAATTGATAACAATTCATTTCTCTTTTAAGAATACCTGCACCTAACCTAACCAAACCTACCAGAAAAAACTGACCCACCCTCTGCCAGGTCTTCAGAAGTTAGTTTTATTTGTATGTGGTTCAGTATCTGTCTCTGGTGTCTCCCAGCTCAGTGACACTGTCCACTCGTACAAACCCAGTCACACAGTCAAACTGTACTGAAGGACTGGAGAATATTAAGGAACTCTGTCTCATGTGACTCTTCATCAGTCGTGTGGAGGACCTCACTCCCGTCACGTGACGTGTGGCTCAGACAGCACCGAGATGCTGCTGTTATTTATTTTCAGACAAAAGAGCTTTTTATGCCTCATATTGACTCAACACTGCGTCCTCGCCACTGCACAGCAGTCACAAGACTCATTATCAGCCCCTCCACTCACACGCACAAACATTCACATACCCTCTTCAAGGCTTTAGATCTCCTCTCTTGATGCCTCCTGACGTCATTTGTAAAAACTTAAATTAGCTTCATTTTTCTTTTTAGTATTCTGGTTTTAAGATGTTCTGTATGTCTCGTGTCAAACAGCATGACTGCGGTTAATACAATAAATATTATTACTCTTTTTCTCTGACTTCTCCAGTGTGTGTGTGTGATATTTGTCATGTGTCTGTTCAAAACTGCAGACCGCTTCAGAGGTCAAGCAAATTATCTTTTAGGTCATAGTTTTGCTTTTACGGCACATTCATGTTACAGTTAAGTGTCACCCTCTCATCAACCTCTTATTCAGCAGCAGCTGTTTTCAGCAGACTCTGACAAACCCAGTGTACACTTCCTGTCCCAGCAGACAGACTCAGAGACTATCTGGTCAACAGAGTGGAGCATGTAGCAGCTAAAGAGATGCATAGTTTCCTCAGAGACTGTAGAGACCAGAATTAGTGAATCTTGGACTTAAGTTCAGGTGGACACAAACACTGCTCCAAATGAAACCTCATGTCCCTCCATATCTGAAGGATGTGAAAGTAGGCAGCTGTTTGCTGACTGACTGACTTATCACCACATCGGCACGCCACCAGTTCAGAGAAGCAGGCCGGAAACAAAGCAATGTACTGCTGTGGACACGTCAGCCACAAAATGTGTTTTAGCCTCAAAAACATCTATCAGTTTAAGTTCATGCTGCATTTAGAATATTATAACAGCTTTACCTTAACATCAGACTGATTTCCAGCAGGAAACTGAAGCTGTTATATCGCTCTCACCTCTTCTAACATTGCTGAACTCAGGAGCTGCTGATCTACCGCTGCCTCTAACAGTTGGTTTGTGTTGTTCTGTGACTTTGGTGTTTTAAAGGGTCAGTTCAGATTCACTAAACACCAGATATGACCAACAGACACCGTCAAAGAGTATTAAGTATTCAAGCTACAGAGAGTCACCTGCAGAAAGAGAAACACTGAGACTGGACCGGTTCTCTCACAATGTATTCTTCATATGTAACACCAGCTCTCAGGCAGATTAACTTCATACCACTTTTATACTTTATGGTTCTCCAGGTGAAATGATAAAGATATTTAAATTCATCCAGTTTAAAATGCCTGCTGATACTGAGTCTGTTTTATCAACATCCGAAAAGACAAACACACCTTTCAGAGGACAGTAATAAAATATGTATTACGTGTTCACTGCCTGCTGATAGTGAGGTTACATTAAATTACACATGGCCGACATCAAAGCTGCTGTAGAGTCACATCAAGAGCCGACATGAACATTGACACACTGCTCAGAAAAAGGTTCCGCTAAACTTTAATTCTGTTGGTATCAAAATGAGAAGCACTGCAGATAATATCAGTCTGTGGGTGTTTTTAAAGTCCTGGCGTGTTCTTTTAAATCATGTGAAGTGAAGCAGGATTTACACAGTTACAGGAAATATAAGTTTTTGTGAAAATGTGTTTTTTATTTATTTGAAAGCGACTGTTTTGAAAAACCTGAAAGTTTATCTGCAGACTTGAGTCGATGAAATGACCTGGATCTCATTTTTAGATTCTTTGCTTCAACCTGACGTGGACTTCAGCTGCATTAAGTCTCTGTATATGAAGGACCTAGAAATTGAATTTACGTACAACTAATTTGCAGCAGCAAATATGTGTCTAGTGTCTCGTGTATAGTGTCAAGTGTATAGTGTGTACCTTCGGCTCAGTTGCTTGTGTCAGTTTAACCACTAAACAAATAAACATAAATACCAAAGAAGCAAAGAAGTAGTTCAACAGTTTGCTGTGAGAAATTTTCAGGCAGATATGCAAAAGTATAAAACATCATCAGCAGGACAGTTGTCTCTTCTTGGAAACATGTCCTCAGCTGATCTTTTATATCTCCTGTTTTCATCCTTCATCTCTTTGTCAGGATCATAACTTTAAAGTTTGAAGCATCTAGTTCGACATTTTGGTGGTAAATACTGGAGGATTTTCACACTCTCCACATGGAAGAGCAGTCAGTGATGTCAGAGACCAAACTGAAAACAGTTGACAAAGATCGTCTATTAGACAGATGCTTCACTCTGTAGTACAGAACTGGCACACTTTCCTGTTTGTAGTAGAGGGTGTTAAATGTCTAGCATCACTCCTCCTGCTGCGTGTTGGTCTAAATATGTGTTCATGTGTCTGTGGGAAAATCAAAACTACGGAATAAGTTGATGATTTGTTGCGTTCAAGTTTTATTTATTTGGGGAAAAAACACAAGAACGTTTTCCACACCAATCAAACAGCTGTGAGGAATCAACTGATGAAAACCTATTGATATCTATAGAAGCAGCAAACCTCTTGAAAAAGCAGTGTGGTAAAGAATGAATTTAATTAACTGAATGAATGTACATTTACACTAAATTACTGGCTACTGGCTGCATCACTTTCACAGTAAGTTACTGTGACATTTTTAAAGTAAATTATAGTGTAATAACAGCTGTATACTGTGATCTCACTGTACTTGTGGCTGCATATTATTGAGATTTAGCAGTATGCTCCTGTAAAATTACTTTATTTACCTTCATGAATTTCACAATAAAATTCTGAATTTGGCTAAATATTACGGTAAAAGCCTGTGAGGTAATAATGATGTAATTTATTGTGAAGTATTACGGTTAAATATTGTAATTTCCTGGAAATAATTTGCAGTGTAGGACATAGAATAGGGAAGTACTGGATGATGTACACTCTGTCATAAACTGGAAACAGTCAAACACATGGACTAATGGATTGCAACAAATATGATGAAGAAAGAAGGGAGGTAATAACAAGACTAACTGAAGAAAAGCACAGCATTGCATCAGGGAATCTACGAGGAGAGACATCATGGAATGTACAGAAGCTTCTATTTAATTGTTTAAGAATAACAGGAATAATTGATATTTTATTTTGTTTTGTTTGTTTTATTTCATTTTATTATTTTGTTTTATTTTGTTTTATCTTATTTAAGATTTTGTTTTATTTTATTTCATTTTACTATCTTATTCTTTTTTGTTTTATTCTATTTTATTATTTTATTTCATTATTTGATTTTATTTTATTATTTTGTTTTAGTTTATCATTTTTGTTTTATTTCATTTTATTTCATTATTTTATTTTATTTCATTATTTTGTTTTATTTTTTCCTTATTTTTATTTTATTTCATTATTTTATTATTTTGTTTTATTTTATTTTATTTTGTTTGTTATGTCCAGTCCAGTAGGTGGCGGTAGTGCACCTGAAAGCTGGTTTGCAAACCGCCATTACAGCCGAAGAAGAAAAAGACAACGAGCTGGAGGAGGACGGGACACAGCCCGGCAGAGAGGGAGCTCAACTTTAGTTTTAAACTTTCAAAACACAGAAAGAGCTCATAACTCGGAGACAATAAGGTGAGTTTAATTTAAAATTACGTTTTGAAACAATGGGCCTTTAATGTTAGCTTATATGACAAATGTGCTAGCATATGTGTTGTTGCTAAGTAACGTAACGTTAGCCTACAAATGACGGTCTGGTTTTAACGGCTGAACTGAATTAAAGTCGTGTAACATGTTATTCTTTATGTTGATTTATTTAACTGTTAACTTTTAATAATTTTCTACATTATTTTTCGCCTCGCTGTTTATCATCCTCCTTCGACTATTAAACTCGCACAGAGTGAGTGGTCCCGTCCAGCACGGGGGATCTTTGTCTGTGGGTGTGCACCGGTTGACGGGAGGCAGGACCGGCAGAGCGGCAGGAAGGGACTCTGCGGGCGGCGGCAGGTCGGTGGAGCAGCAGCGGAGCCGTCATGGACAGGACGGCCGTGGTAAAGGTCGGAGCCGCGGCCAGCGCGAGCGTCTGCGCCCTGTTCGGCGGCGTGGTGCTGGCCCAGTACATCGTCGCCAAGAAGAAGCGAGCGGGAAAGAAGACCCGGATCATAGAGATGGTGAGTGTGAACACAGAAACCCGGATCATGAGTGTAAATACAAACACCCGGATCATAGAGATGGTTTGTGAGAACAGAACAACCCGGATCATAGAGATGGTGAATAAAAACAGACCCTCGTGCTGCGTCAGGATCACCGGGGGCACATGAGACAAGAAACAGGAAGTGAGAAAGCTCTACCTTCAAAATAAAAGCGCGATCCCTGTGACAGTAAACACGTGTGGAGAAGCTGTTGTCAGCAATTTATGTAACGATTAGGATCCTTTTGTATTTTTAATTTCAGCAGGCGTGTTATAAGGTAGCAGCAAGATACTCTGGGCCAATCAACATGGTATTGGATTGTTTTTTTGCCGATATTTCCATTTTCTCCACCTAATTTTAGTGATCATCAAGTCTCTTCTGTAGTGGAATTAATTATACATACATGCTCTTATCATGACGGCCCACCAGCAGATGGAGACATGAAATACGTACATTTTAACGTATGTAATATTTATTTATTGTCCAAAATAAGAAAAAAACATGTTGGCTGATTCTTCATTTTAAAGACGATATTGGCCAATGCCAATGCCGTGCCAACATTATAGTGCATCCCTGAAACTTTGCTCATCATTTTCAAGTGTTATTGTACCATGTAGTACGCTAACATCTACACTTTAGTCGGTAAAATATAAAAGAAAATGAATTTTGTGTGTCTGATATTCAGCAATCAGAATCAGAAATTCTTTATTAATCCCCGGGGGTAAATTGTGATGTGATACGTTACAGTCACTCTTGTATAAAGTAAAGAATTATAGGAGTAGAAATAAGACATACAAAGGATATAAACATATGAAATAAGAATTAAATATGTGCACTACGCTACGGTGTTAAAAGTAGTAGTTAAATTAGGAGTTTTAAGCAAATATAATGTGCCGAGTATGTTAAATGTGTAAACATATAAAAATATGTGCTTTATGCCACAATACAATGGAAAAAAACTAGTATGTTAAGTTTGAAGATTTAAAAATATGTGTGTGATGCTACAGTTTACAACTCAATATTTATAAACGTAGAAATAAGAATAAGAAATATATACAATATGTGCAACAGTTGTTGTTTAAAATATGATTTTTCGTATGATTCAACTTTTAATTGCTTTTTCAGCATTTGAACACAGCACATTACAAATGTATAAACAACATTCAAAATTAAAATACAGACTAAACATGAGGGAAAAACAAAAGGTTGTGCACGTTCGTCTCGGCAGTGTGAAACACAGGCTGACATGTAACACCCACAGGATGTTCACACAACTTTATTCTGAAAATCACGCCTGGAAATGTGACAGTGTTATTTTTGGTATGTTGACAGTAGTGGACCTGCGTGGTTCTGTGCGCAGGCGTGGATGTTTCCTAAATCAGCAGCTGTTTTTTAGAGGTCATCAGATTGCTGTGTAACAACACAAAGAGCAGCAGCGAGAGATCACAAAGCTCTGACAGCTGATCCTGAGCCAGTGATGCTCTCTGCAGCTCTGTCTCTGTCCTGGAAACAGCCTCGTGCTGCTGGCTGTTATCAAACAGGAAGCCTGCAGGTTATGCAAGCTGCAGCAGCACAGACGATACAGTCCAGCTCTGTAACCTGTCCGACAGGAACCAGGCTTCAGCACAGAATAAACAGTCCTGACACACACACACACACACACAAGTTAGAGACAGCGGGGGGGAAAGGTATGTTAAATGTCCAGTGTGGAGGATTCAGAGGGATATGATGTCAGAAATGGGTTATAATTCAATCAGTATATATTACGGTCAATATTGTATTATTTATCAAGTTAAAATACAAAACATTTCCAGGTTACAGCAGCAAGAACACTTTCAGATTCTCTAGTGTGTAAGATTTAGGAGGACGTATTGGCAGAAATGAAATGTAATATAATGAGTGTGTCTTCTTTAGTGTATAATCACCTGAAAATAAGAATCTTTGTGTCTTCATGTCTTCACATCAGCTACTGTAGTCAGAAGTCCCTCAGCAACAAGCACCGATGGAAAAACATAAAAATTTTTGTGGGAGGAAACTGTTTTATTCAACGATTTTACTGGTTTAAATCATCTGGTCAGTTTGTTTTGGAGAGGAAGAGATCAAACAGGGGACCACCCTAGGTCCAGTGTTTGGTCCTGAGTGGTGGAGACAGGATGTCAGCATCAGAGGAGCGTAGACTGCAGGAAGGAGTGTAGCAGTGGAGCAGACGAGCAGCAGAGATCTGGATGTACTGGAGTGTCTTTAGGACTTTGGATGATAAAGATGCTGCAGCAGTATTTGATTCTGGATGTGATGAAGGTGTGAATAAGGGTTTCAGCAGCAGAGAGGGAAAATAATTGACAGTGGAGAACTATGTTTTTCAGGTGGAGGAAGGCGTACTGGTGAAGTGACTGACATGTTTTTCAAAGGAGAGTTTGGTGTCGAAAATAACTCTGAGGTTGCAGATATGTGTGGAGGAACGCAGAGTGGGCGTTATCAATGATGAGACAGAAGTTATGAGAGGTTTTATGAGGGATTTGGGACCGATGATGGTCATGTCAGATTTTTTGCAGTTCAGTTTGAGAAGGTTTGCTGGTATTCATTAACTGATGTCATTGAGGCAGGTGGTCAGAGTGGAGTGAGTTTCAGTGGTGATGGATGTGGTGGAGATGTAGAGCTGAATGTCATCGGTGTAGAATCTGACACACTGGACTGATTTTTTCAAGTCCAGAATCATCTGAAAGAAATGCGTTATAATGCAGAACGTCTCTTCATCATTCCGTGTGTGACACCTGTTATTTTTATGCAACAAAATCTTTTAGCTTTAGTTTTAGAAACACTTCTATAAGCACCTGATAATGTATATATTTACATTTTTCTGTGGGGGCAGTAAAAGGTGAAAAAAAATTTAGTTTTTATCTCATCTTACTGGCAAAATATAATTTTTTACTGAAAATTGTTTTTCACAATGTTTACATGAAGCCTAGAAAACTCTTTGAACCCGTGAACACAGGAGAGATAAAATCTATTTTATTAACTTTTTGAATAAAAGATATGTTTTTGAAAGAATTAATAAAGTCATTATAAAATAAACAATGATTTTAATACCTTTTATTTAACTTCAACACCTTCCAGATACCCATGGGAAAATACATGGACTTCAGTGGTTGAATATACATTCTTATTTTTTCTAATCTTAGTCCCTAGTGTGCGTCATGAAGGTTAAACTCGTCTCCTCCCAGGGCTGAAAGAAGAGATTTAGACTTTGAGTTTTGCAGTTGTCACAGAGCGTTGCTCTGTACTGTATCTCTACCATAATCTATATGATTCATATCAGAGCTATTTGCTCCACCTGTGCACCACTCTGTATGCTCAGTCTGCCCACACAGACACTCTCACATACCTGAGAGGAAGTCTCTCAAATTCAGCTGCGACTTTCATAATTTACAGTAGAAACAGCTGCACCCAGATGCTCCGGCAGCAGACAGACATTTATCGTTTTATTGCTTGTAAAACATTTATCATTTATTACCTGTAATTGGCAGGTAGCCTCCTCTCATTATGTCATCGTGGTGTGCTGTTATCAGCGTTGTCTCGCTGCAGTTTGGAGGGTGACGCTGGTTTTACAGCCGCAGGTTTGGTTTGTGTAAAAAGGAAACACAGTCTGATCGTGTCCGACAGAAAACTGGCTGTTTGAGAAATAACTGTTCCTCAGATCAGCTCCTCTGTTGATGTGAAGTTAAACTCATGTTTTAGCGCTCCAGTCTATCGTAACAGTGTGACCTTTGACCACTAAACATCTGTTTGTTTGCATCATTGTTGATTTAAGAACTGAAACTTTTAACTGCCAGTTTGTGAAATAGAAGTTGTGAAATATATCAAAGGAACCCGAGAGGCCGAACACTCTGATCTCTGATGGGAGGCTCAGACGTGAGACATCAAAATGACTCTGTGATGCAGCTGGGAGATCAGCTCTCACAGTGTTGGCCTACATGTGCTTTTTATGCTTCTGTGCCGCCGATAGCTGCGGCCAGAAGCATTATGTTTTCGGGTTGTCCATCTGTCTGTTGGCCCGTCCCATCCTTGTGAACATGATATGTCAAGAACGCATCAAGCATTTCTTCAAATTTGGCACTAATGTCCAATCTGACTGAAAAATAAACTTATTAGAAATCTGTGATCAAAGGTCAGTGTGACCTCACAAAATATGTTTTTAGCCATAAGTCAAGAATTCATACACTAATTCTGACCAAACTTCACACAAATGTCTAACAGGTTAAAATAATGAAGGTCAAAGGTCAGCTTGACTGTGACATCATCATGTTTTAACATCATATCTCAGGAACAGAAGGGGAGACATTTGGTCAGATACTGAATTGGTGACTCTAATCTTGAAACTGTGCTGATTGTATAGATCTTCTGTGTGTGAAGCATCCATGTTTTCACTGACATGGATGGAGACTGTCAGAGACACTGGACTGGTGGGCGGAGTCATACAACCACAGGGTGGTGATTCTAGTTTATTAGTGTGAGTAGCTTATTCATCCCATCAGCTGACTTTGATAACATTAACCCCAGAGTGAGCAGGGGGAGATCAGGGACGCTCTTTAGATGTCTGTGTCTGCTTCGGGATTTAGGGTCATTAACAGTAATATCAAAGGGAGGATGATTCCAGCCGTCCAGAGCTTCCTGGGTCGCCTGGGTCCAGATCTTTGAACCCACTACCTCCACTGAGTTTGAGTTGGCTCCGTTTCATTCTGGAAATGGATTGTAATGAGTTGACTGTTCTGTCTGATATCCAGCAGCTTCCTGGGTAAATTCAGATGCAGTTTTATTGAGCTTATGTTGTAGCTTTGTGAGAGATGAAAACCAGTGCATCAAAGAGCATTACTTCCTGGATCCTAACTTTGTGTCTGCAGACCGTCACAGATGTAGTCAAAGTCTCTGAATGATAAAGACTTAATGGTGACCAAGCTGCAGCCAGCCGCTCTGTGTTCGCT